GTGTTTTTCAAAAAGCATGCAAGAAAAAGAACGCACAACATTGTCTTGTCTCCTCCGCTGTGACGGCAACAAAAGTTTACGGTATCAAGTTTGTGGTACCAGACATACAGTAAAAATTCAAAAACAATAGGGACCAAGAACATTGGGACTGCTTACAAAAAGTTAAGCATGATTTGTCATACGGGAAGTTATCAGCACGACCAGTAAATGTAAATATTGAAAAGCTGACCGATCATACATAATTAGCCAATGTCCAAGCAATTGCATATTTTTTATAATCCACATTGTTGGATATATACCATAGATATCTTATATACACTAGATAGTGCATCTAATTATTCTACAATTCAAAAATTGAAGCCGTGACTGCAGACTGAAGATATTCCCATGAAATGAGAAGATTCGTATGTTTTCTATTTCTTAAACACGGAACTTAAATATTAAGGTAAACCTATTCCAAATACATTTTTAAACTATTCAAATGATGAAAGTTATTGTTGTTTTTTAAGCATTCATTAGCTAGTGGGAAACACTAACATGGCCGCCATCTATTCAAATGGGGGCAAAAAACGCCGAGTCCGTTGCTCAACAGGACTGAACAATGTTTTGCTGCTCACGTTGTTCACACTTGTCAACAATATTGAACAATATTGTTGAGCATGAATCGGGTGTAACAATATTGTTCAATATTGTTGACAGCTATGAACAATGTGGGCAGCAAAACATTGTTCAATCCTGTTTTCATCAGTATTGCATCAACCTGGGCGTTTTTACGCGTGTATATAAGATATCTATGATATATACAGAAGTAGGTTCACAAATCACAATCCCGTCAGATCCAATTACAGAGATGTTTTGATTGAAATCATATTATACCTAAACGTTATATTCCAATACTTACCTTTACTTCAATATTCACTTTCTCAACTGGCAACTGTTGTGACATAGCTGGGTTCTGAATAGAAGCCTTAAAGTGGGTCCACTGCCAACTTGTCTCACCAGTCAGCATAAATTCTCTATCCTTGCCAAGAACTATTTGAATCAACCTGCAGAAGGTGTTATATTCCTGACAATTTTTCGGTGTTCCGGACAAAGCAGCCATGTAAAGGCCTTTGGGAATATTGGTACTAAATGCTGATGCCAGAGGTTCTGAGGTGTAAGCCATAAATGGAATGTTGGTTAAGTCCACTTGGTGCGCAGACAATGAAAGGCCAATCTAAAAGGAAAGTGTTTCAGTTGATATTGAAAAGAGAGATTGGCTTCATTTCAGCATTTCTACTGAAGATGGATCATCCGTTAGGTCGCGTTGTCCGTACGACTAGGACGCAGTGATCTGACGGATTTTCCATCTTAGCATAAACACAAGACGAGCTATCCAGGCGAATTAGCGAGAAAAGCGCAATACAAACTGACAATGTCCCGATAGTTCGTCTAATGCTAAATTTACAGTGCACATCGACGGATCATCCTCCAACACGAACTAAGTTTGGCGTATCATCTGTTTTTGCTGCATTATCATACCAAGATAGTTTTCTTGTTTTGTTTTGTTTTGTTTTGTTTTGTTTTGTTTTGTTTTGTTTTGTTTTGTTTTGTTGTTTTTTATTATTATTTGCCCATAATTTGCCAACAAAAACAACTATTTACATATTAGAAGAAATAATTAGGGCTATATAGGAGTCTTCAACAAACCCTGAAGGGCTTTTATTTAAAAGACCCCTAGTCAATATGTTTAGACGGTTCATCCATTGCTAGTTTAAATCAAACCGTGTAAACAAGTCTCTTTTGTTTTATTTTTCTAGCACTTTGTCTAAATTGGTCATTTTTCATAATGCAGGCGTTACTTTACACAATGAAGTTTCATTGTCTATAATCTTACCTTATTGTTTCCATTCTTGGCCTGAAACATATCCAGATACCTCAAGTAGACTCCAGTGAAAGATGAGATAAACGTTCCTAATGGTATATCATTAAAAATTATTCCTGTAGTCAATAAATACTTCTTATACAATTTCCCAACAAGTATTTCTGTCTTGGCATTTGTTTTGAACTTCTCAACATAACTAAGTCCTGAAAACTTGGCGCTTACAGTTCTACTGAGGTACATCTCAACATTTGGCTTCATGATTCGCAATGAAAACACTCCGTATGTTTTCAAAACCTTTAACATTCTTTCCGATGCAAGTTCCGTCCCGAATGTCAGTTCAATTTTATCAACATCAACAGGATCAGGTGATTGGCCATGAATACGAACGTTATCCTCTTTTGTTCTCGCAATTTCTACATCAAATTTTGAACCGCACAATTTATAATTCCCACGACCCACAAAGGTGTTATGGCTGCTCGTAGAACGATATGAAAACTTAACATTTGAGAGCTGTAAATACTTGTGAGGTCGATATACTGACAGTTCTCCAAGAGGTATTTCAGTCTGGTATGATATATTGCTATTCACAAACACAACAATCCCCGAGACTAGTCCCTCTGGATCAGGACGGACCATATTTGGCAAAGCAACAGTTTTCATATATGAACTATTGAATAATCCTTGTGGCGTTTTATCCTTTAACTGAATACAATACTTTTCCACGTGCCCTTTGTCGTCGGTCATTTCACTAATATTTATCCTTGATCTATTTTCACCAAACTTTTCAAGTTTTTGTTTTACAACAGTTGGAAGTAAATCGGATGAGGTCATTTCATATTTAGTTTTGCACCAATCTGATGAATTGTTGAACTGAACTGGTCGTTGTGGAACAAGTTTGCCTGAAAATTGAAAACTTTTTGTTAGACTCACTAAAGTTCGTTGTATTTGATACTCTAGTCCCCTGCCATCTCTTTTGTACTATCTAAGAATCTGTAGCATTTCCGTTGAATTTTGATTTGTATTATTATAGGTAAAGGTAACAAACTAAAAAATAAACGTAAACTGTTTGCATTTTTACTGGAGTTTCCATTCACCTCGTGCGTCTTTCATCTGCTCTTTCATTTGTTCTATCCATGCAACATTCCATTGATCGATTCCATTCCTTATTTCACCCACAATACCTACCTGACTTCTTCCTTTCCTTTCTTCCATAACCCAACTTTCTAAATTGGTTTCCTTAAATTAACTCACTCTCGTTTTGTTTCCTATTATCTGTTTAAGTTATTTTATATTTAAGGCGCAGTTCTTTACCTTGGTTTATTTGCCTGAATGAATGTTGTGTAACTGTTTTATAACCCTGCCTTCAACAGCCATATTTTCTTATTCTTCCTGGGTTTCTTACAATTTCATCCTTTCTACTACTTGTTATCTTCTCTTTTAAGGATTACATTACAAGTAGTTCCTACCTTGGTTTCGTAAACGCGTTCCATAACATCCTGGATCTACTATTTTTGTTACCAAATCATCTAAAATAAAGAAAGTTTACAATTTGAAACAGACTCATCGACAATTGTGCCCAACGACAATAATACAGTTTTATAATAAATTGATGTTTTCATTTGGTCGCGTCTACAGTCTGAACAAAGTTACTGATGTTTGACTATGTAAAATGGTCTGGATATTTTTCTCTAATGTATCATCTTGGATAACAAAAACACATCCAAGATATCATCGTGTTCTGATATATATTTTTAGATTCCATTACATCAACCAAATTGATATGGTTGGGATTGCTAATTAAATAATGAGATAAATACTCACCAGAAACACCAAGCTCTAAACAGGTTTCTTGTTTCTCTGGTAAATTCACACACTCCGGGATAAGTTCACCTCCAATTGGCATCGTCCTGGCATATTGAAATTCTTTCGAGCAAATCTGAGCCTCGAGTATTTCGCAATCTTTACGACAGATCAGATTTGGAGTTATGTTATCTGCCAGACACGGTGGAAAGAAGTAATAACACAAAGCTTTCAAAGCAAAGTTACGACAGCTAGTTTTTGTAAACGGTATCACGTTCTTTAAACTACGATTTAGTTTTGTTTCGCGTCCTTGTTGAGTACGATTTTCTGAGATGAAGATCAGTTGTCCTGCTCTAATGTAGTCTGAACATACTTTCCCGTTGTATGGTTCACATTTTCCTCTAAAAGAATAATCGGTGTTTTTTTATTAAACTTTGCTACTATAAAGTAGGTAGCTACTGATATGTACGACCGTACTTGGAATAGAAGAATTAAGAGTTGTAAAGAAATGGTTTTGTTCGAATCACAAATCAAAGTTGTAGAAAGTCGAAGATAGCTGTCCACCACCACAACTTGACACAATCAACAACACAGCAACAACAGTAAAGCAACAGTCAAAGCATATTTTGATGATGGCGTCATTGAACACTATCAATAGACTAAATTATTCCATATTACATTACTAAATTGAAGAGTTCCAAAAAATGTTGAGCAATTCATTTCATTCACGTCTAACCTAACTATATGTTTCAGAAGAAATCAAAAGACAAAAGGTTATGAACGTAGATATTTTATCAAATAAATTGATAAAATTGTAATATAAAATGCTCACAATGTTTTGGAATTCTTCTATTTCCATGACTGTTACTGCAAGAAGAAAACAAGATGAAATCCAGGAATAGTTTTGATGACGTTTTAGTGTGAAAGAAGCTGGATAAATTAGGAACAATCTTTTCAAAGCTAAAACATACTTATATTTTTTATATTCATCTTCCGATCTGTCAACATTGACTGGATGATCCCTGCTTTTCATGGTATCTCTTGATCTAGCCTCAGTATGGTGAGGTATTCCACTGACTATTGTAAATAATGTCTTCAGTATTTCTGCATGGTTTTTGGCTCCGGCCTTTGAGGATGTTTCTGTCGCTTTAGATCTGATTTCTGAAAAATAGACATATAAGAAAAATACCTCATCATTTCTGCAATCTAAAACAATAATTGGATTTTAAGTATTTCCGCTAGGATAAAATAACAAGCTGAAGTTACCCCGTCGCAAGCTCATTACGAGTTTCCATGTTCTTTTCGTGTTTTCTTGATGAAAAAGGGTTCTAAACATAAACTCTGCTCAGGTCTACATCCTAAATCATGCAGTACGCTTGCCTGTGTATACTCCTCGGAAGAAATCACGATTTTGAGTGGAACCAAAAGAGCCTGCATGGAGATCATCGACACTCAAAATCATTTCAAATATAATGCATCGTTTAAAACGTCTTCCCAGTGTTGTTCGCTTTTACTACAGTCAACTTAAACCTTCATTATGAGTTGATAATTATACACCATATATGAACAGACCACTCACTTGCAGAAAATATCCTCTGACAGTTGTTGGTGCACTCTCTGCGTCAGCTGTAGGTAGACTACTACACACTGGAAGCTGGAATCGTAAGTTCACTGATATTGCTTTTACAATAGTGAACGCTGATTGACATACGTTTTGCTCCAAATGTGCACAGTCTTTCTTACAGATTGGAATCGCTTTAGGTTTCTTCCTGTTGGGATCACAGGGTGGGAAGTAATACTTGCAGAGTGATCGAAGAAGATAGGCTTTACATTTCGATGATATATATGATGACATTCTTCTGAAAATGTCCTCAATTTTTTTCTCCGTATCTCGTTGAGTCCGACCAAACTTAATAAAGACTTTCCTTGCACTCACGTGGGTCGAACACAGATTTCCCGTGTACATTTCACATCTGTAATTGAGATAGAAAATTATACTGAAACAACTCTATTTGTGGAAAGGTATACATTACCACAAAGTACTGCAACACTACTTCAACTTCATCTTGAATACCATGCAAGAGCATAACTAATAATTCCTATGATGTATTAAGCAGTTTTACCTTTCACGATGAAGTGGGTTCACGCCTGTAAGAAAAAATAATATAAAGATTAAAAGATAGAGGGAAGAAATATAGTGATTGTGGACTTGTAGTTACATTAGTACAAACAGGATCTAACTGGGTATGGTCGTTGTGCGGTTTAAATATGTTGAAGTGGCAATGGTTTTGTCTCAACGTGGTAATTCATCTTTATATAACACTCTTTTACAAAACCACTGCTGTAAAGAATAGTAATGTTCACATAGATAAACGCTTCTTCCAACAATCTGTTTGTAATTATGGTAAAATTATATTTATCCAACCATTTTCAGCCTCAAAAATGTTATTTGCATAGTATGCCAGTATGCATAATGAAGATGGGAAAATACTGTATCCGCCACAAAAATCGTACTTGAAAAATAAAGCATGTTACTGAATTTGTTGAGAAACATTACCCAACTAGATCATGAACGATTGTATATAGGTGGTAGGCAGCGAAACAAACCTCTAATTTTTAAATAAGCTTCATTTGACGTCATCTGACCAAAACTATTCCTTGATTTACACGTGTACACTCCATAATCCGAGACTCGCACATTTCTCACTTGCAAAACTCCTCCCCAGTAATATGACCGAGTACGATATTTTCGCCGTATGTGTGGGATATATCTACCATTATGTCTCCAACGTATCCTGGAGGGTGAGCCAGTGATCACACAGCGGAATACAGCAGTCCTACCAAGATGAACTGTTGTGTTTTTCAGGACACTGAACTGTATTGGTTTACCCTCTAGTAAATATGCAATGTGTCACATGAGAAGCAGATATTAAACCCAAACTAAAGTATTTTATTAGTTATTCTAGAAAGCTCTACCATGCAGTTCTGTTAAACTGCTCTCCCCGGCTATCAACACAATGAATAATAATTAACAGGACAATTAACAATGAATAATCCACGCTCTGTTGAGAATGGCAAAATACCTACTTTCACTGCCTCTTATATAACACTAGCATTTCAAGCCGTGACCGGTAATTATCTCACAAAATTGTTTAACATTGCTCTGAGTGGTGAAGCCCTGTTTTAACCTTAAATTCATAAGAAAGTTGATACAAGACAAGATTTTTAGATGAAGAGAGAAAACCTGAGAAATCATCAACCGTCTCATTAATGCCTATATATCCCACTTTTATTCCGCCAGGATTTTTTACTGGGTCAATTTTTGCGCTGTTTTGGGTTGGCACCTGTTACTCCTCCCCCGCCTCTCAGATTCACAGTTTTACTTTTAGCCTTCACAACGCCTTTGATTTAAATTAGTTAAAGATGAGACATAACATGCGTGTTCACCTTTTTCTTATTTTGCCTAGTTCCCCACGGAAAAAATATTTCCACATCACAAATTCTACCCAAACAACTTCAATTTAACTGCTAAAGACATGACAGAGTTTCAAAACTCAATTCAAGATTAACGGCCACAAAAAAAACCCTGTTGATTGATTGTTTCTACTGCTTCTACTTCGCTTGTGTTTTTACAGTGTGACATCGTGAACCGATGACTTTCTTTGTTATTGTATAGACAAAACTTACGTAGAAAATGATAGTACATGTAATAAATATTGTGATATTGTGTTTTTTTCGAAACATATGTAACATCAATGTTGTAAATACTCGTAACAATAGTAACGCGTTACTAATTACAAATTACTTTTTGAGTAATTTTGATGGTAATTAATTACTTTCTTACTGAAGTAATTTGTAACGTAATTAATTACATTTTGAAGGTAACGAGTAAAATTTTCTTAAAGTAACGTCACGTTATTTTTCAATCTTACTTCAATCTCTCACAACATTTATTACACATAATCTAAAAAGTAGCAAAACGTTTTTCTAGGCTATACCTGCCTTAAGAACTAGTGAACTACAACGAATACGATGTTTACAAAATTGAAATATTTTTCAAATAAGCCTGCAATACACGAGTAAAAACGCTCAGGTTGATGCAATATTGATGAAAATAGGATTGAACAATGATTGTTCACAGTTGTCAACAATATCGAACAATGTTGTTACACCCGATTCAGGCTCAATAATATTCTTCAATATTGTTGACAAGTGTGAACAACGTGGGCAGCAAAACATTGTTCAATCCTGTTGAGCAGCGGGCTCGGTGTTTTTTGCCGTGTATGTGAAATATGCGGCGTGAGCCTTCACCTTTACTTCATGTATTGATATGGTTAATGCATTATGTCTTTTTCAATTTCTCGCCAATTTGCGCGAAATGATTTAACTGACAAAATGAAAAGTAATTTTGAAAGTAATTGGTAATTAATTACTTTTTGAAAAGTAATTAGTACTTGGTAATTAGGAGAAGTAATTGTATGTTCTACTCATTACTTTTTTTCAGTAATTTTTACAATTTGTAACATTCCTCTAAAGCATTATGAAAAGTCTGTGTAACTCGGTAAGTACAGTATCGTATTTCCATTCACTTTTGCCGGTGTAATAAAATTCTCACCGTAATATACTATGTATAGCCATCACTTTTCTTCTGAGATTCATGAGAAGTAAAATGCCATTTCCCAAAATAACTAGCCTGCGTGCAACCTCAACCCGAACTTTTTAAATATCATGTTGTTTTAAAGGGAAATGGCAATATAAATTTTTATTTTCTCATTTGAAAGAACTTTTGAAACTACATCTTAACTTCTTTAACCGATTTTTCATATCTTGCTTAATAGTTCTTGAAATATTTTCACTTGAAGTAATGAGATGTCCGCCATTTTGGATAATTTTTTATCTCATTAACGGTAGTTTTGGAAACGTCGCAACAAGGATTAACCATATGCATATAGTATTCATTGCTGACCAAATATTGATTGGTAGATGTTTTAAGGCCTGTTTACACTTGTAATTTTTGCTGCGATTTTAGGTGCGATTTTCTTCTGATGGATGTGAACGAGTGGAAGAATTATGAATGTTGAAGCCAGTTTCGTGTTAACCGCGCATACAAAAACAATAGAAAGGGACTGGAACTGACGTCCAAAAGCTCCTTCAATTTCCGCCATCTTGGCAAGGAGTGTGTTGAAATTCCGTATTTTGACTTCGATTTAAAGAATAATATTGTAATTTTATGAACTGAAAACTTGATTAGTGATACGGTCCATTAGAAAAAACTGGAATTAGCTGGGGAAAATGGTATAAAAACTGTATACGACCTTCAGAACTATTGGACGTCAATGGCCGCCATCTTGGCTTCACTTTTCTCATTGACCGAATGACTGGAGTTCTTACTCCAGATATATATAGAGCTCACTGGGGTATATATACTCCGACCATTCATACTCATATACTCGTTCACATCATTCAGAAGACGAAAATTGCACCTAAAATTGATATTTCGAAGGGCAGAAAAAAGGGGCATAAAAGAGTATTATATAGGCTATAGTCTTAAAAGTTCTTTCAAATGAGAAAATAAAAAATATATTGCCATTTTCTTTAAATATAAAAAAATTCGCAAAACTGCACGCAGGCTAAAAAAAACTGGAAGAACTTCTAATTTTTTGTCAACTCAAGAAAAACCGAAAATTGTGCCGAATGACGTGTTAATATGTCTAAGCTGTGACTTAATGCGTGAAGTACATCAGTTTATTGAGTTCATGTGAGATAAGAGACAAGAAGGCGACGATCACAATAATAGCTTGCATGAGCAAATCCTCTTTGAAATATTCTTTGAAATACGAGCGCTGTGTAAACACGAATCATACATACGCAAAATGGACTTGACCCATCTATGCGTGCTTGCTAAATTTTGGCGACAAGTTGCATTACAGTTCCTAAATATAGCAATAATATAGCAATATATATACTATACTACTACATTGGGTACGTAATTTGTATAGTAATTCTATACTACCATATTAGGTACGTAATTTGTATAGTAATTACTATACTGTACTACTATACTATGGTTCTGCATTATCAGTTCTTTTATATAGCAATATGCGACATTGTAGCACTACGCAGCATTATTATAATAGTGCACTTTATTATTTTATATAACGCAATAACTTATCAGGATTCAACCACCTACGATCTCGTTTTCGTTGGTAGATTAGAGAGCTTCGAAATCTGCTTCTATGTCGGTTTTGTCGTGAAGATCTCTTTACCGACAGTGTTCTTAATTGTTGAAACTTTCATACCCTGGCAGTAGTTTTTCATGCACCTGATTATCTGCATGTCCTATTGTGAACCTTGATATCTCTTAATATATTCACCCGGTTGGCCGGTTTATAGTCAAAACAGATAGAAAATAACCCTTACATGGCTTAACCCTACCCCAGGGTCACCCTAGCGCGCATGTAAACACAACGTGCAAACACAGTGGACTATAGGGTAACCCTTCTGCTAGGATTACGGCTTCTGCTAGGATCACCCTATTTCGAAGTAAACAGGCGGTAATTCTGCCCTTTGCAACCGAGTTGCCAGCGGAGGAGGCCACTTACCATACGGAAGTGCAAGACATGCGGGTGGCGGGTGTTGAACTCAAGAGGAATAGTTTAAGCAGGAAATATATAGGCGCGCGTGATCACGCAAACTATAACTGTTCATGCATTAACGCCGGAAATTGGGGTAGGGGGACGGGCGGCTGTTCCTCTTACGAGAAATTGTAGTAAATAGTCTATGAAAGGGTGTTTCATCACTGTTTTCTTCTAAATTGTTGTAAACTTGAAAATGCGTGACAACTCTGACGATAAGACGATTCACTGGCTTAAAAGCTAAGGAGCATTGGCTAAGTTACTAAGTGGTATTTACTAAGTATATTAAGCTAGTGTGGTGCATATTTATAGAAATCTATGAACGTTCTTTTCTACGAAAATTCACCTCTTTCCATGCACGTTGTTCTGTCACTGTTTTTGTGCACATGTGACTTAGTTCAGTGACCTCAAATTCTCAATAGCTCCGTAACGACAGTATGGCGCCGTTGCAACTCGTTAATTCTTTTACGACTAAACATTGTTGTTTAGTTAAGGTGTGAATAATAACAAGAGGAAACTCTTGTAGATCTTTCTTCGCCATGTGAATACGGGATAACTATATACTGAAGGCGCCATAATGTCTTGTAAAACTTCGGAAACATAGTTTATAGGAAAATGTATGGGTGGTGTGTTTCAGCTGATGTTGTTTTTCTCAAGGGTGGGTCGGCAATGAAGAATATAAGAATTTATGTTTTCATGTGTGAACATGCAATCTTGAAATAATATTGATGATCTTAGTTCGATATTTGTACTCGGTTATAGGGCCATATTTCACGAGGCATTTTTTACTGCAACTTGCAACGCAGTTTCTGACATAGAGCAATGTTATCTAAAAAGAAGTCACAAGGAACTAATTGTGGGCATAACCCACGGTTTATTCTACCGACATTTTTCATCCCATTTCTTTGGTATTTCATGCTGACAATTTCCTTGAGACTACTTTTTAGATAACATGGCTCTGTATCCAAAATTGCATTGCAAGTTGCAGCAAAAATTGCCTCGTGTAACATGGCTTTTACATCTATATGTTCTACATGCTTCACCGTGGTGTGTCGAACATAGTCGGGCCAGTGTCGGACTACGATAGCCTGCGAGCAGGGCACCCAGTATGCCCGCGACTTTTAGTTTGTCCGGTACGGGAGCGGAAAAATTAGGGGGGCAGAACGAAATTTGCCCAACTTTTGCATTTTGCCCGACTAATCAAATTCCCTGCAAAACGTCGGAACATTTGGAAAGCTAAAAATGTTTTGCCACATCGCCCTATTTTCTTGCATTTTTACTATTATCTTTATATATATTTGTTGTTTTTCAGCTTATTTTAACCACTTTTTCTCAACTTACGTTCAACATTCCTAGTTCAACATTTGCCCGACTTATGTTCAAAATTTGCCCAACTTATCGACATTTCAATTCTTCTGGGGGCAGCTGCCCCCCTCCTCTCCCCCCCCCCCCATGACTACTAAGGTGAATTCAGATATGAAGATACGAGGCGAAGCCGAGTATCTTAGGTCTGATAACACGCGTACTGCGAATGTTTTAAATTGCTTCAAAAACGATCGATCTAGTAAGTTCATTGGCGAAGCGGTAATTTTCAGAAAAAAGGTTGTGCAAGTGAGAAAATGAAAGTTAAAGTTTATGTGAATCAAGGGAAATCCGTCTATCACATGTAAAGATACGACACGCTCATGATTTTTCTTTGTGTTTTCCTCATTAATTATTAATGAGTTTTTGAAATCGTAATACAAAACTGACCTGTATACGATAAACGATGATTAAACATGCACTCATGCAGTGAAGCTGCTTAGAAACTGAAGGCTCAGAAACTGAAACGACGCATATACTGCACACAGGATCGAAAAAAACTTTGAGAAAAAGGTAATTCTCCATATCAAATAAAATTGGTGGCTTTCGAGACTGTGCAAAAATCTGTTTCTCAGATATGTATTCAGTCTGAGGGGTTCATCATTGTTTGTGCAGTCACACCATAGTAACATTTGCGACATCTATTTTAGAGATTGATTTATTAAGTAGGAAAACGAGGATTCATAGTTTGCGCGCTTTTGTCCGCTGACGATGGACGATGAGTGAGTGCAAGTAGTCGTAGTAAAACCTTAATCTCTCTGTAAAATATGGCATGAATGCTGCGCAAGTGCACATAGACATACACATGTAAAGCTCTCTAATGAGACCTCCCTCGAAACATTAGCCTGAATGTTTACACTTGCATTTTTCTACCACAACTACTTCTGCTCCTGTAGATTTAAGATTTACATCGTGGTAATCGTCCACAGGGCATAGCCGAGTTACAGAGGTATGACTGTTAAAATGCAAGTTCATCAAACCAAATTTGGAACCGCATGTTTTCAGTCCGGAGATTTACACGGCATGAGCATATTTCCGCAGTATAGAGATATTTGCCTAAAATTCCGGAACATTTATAGCACTCTGATGAGTTTTGAGACAGGAAAATCATTAAAGATTCATTACAGTTGATACTACAAAAAACCGAAAGAATTCAAATGCCAAATTTAGAAACTTTAAGTTTAATGAATCACATGTACAGCATAACTCATAATTAATTGATTTGTTATTGTGGAAAACATGATGCTTATTTATTTAGTATATTACGAAATAAATAAACCTAGTGTATTACGAAATAAATAAACCTGTTGTTTGCCACAAAAAGGAATAAATTGTACTTATCGCTATTCAAACCTACAGGGAATCAATTAGATTACAGTTTCAAACAGTCACCCACAATCGATGCTCAATCCTTATAGAATTCGCCGACATAGTTTCCTAGTTGTTTACAACAGCGCGCAATATTTAAACTTGAACTTGGCAATCTCTGTGCCTGTGCGAGATATTTATGTTTGGTTAATACTTGACAAAAGAAAAACTTTTAAGTTTTATAACTTGCTGAGCAAACCACATGATTTAGATATCCTGCTATAGTTTGAAACAACATGAGCACACGACACAATGTCGGGATTACACAAAACAGGAATATCTTACAGTTTGCCGTTGTTGTTCTAAAATTTTGTTTAAAGTTATTTTAACACCACCCGGGAGATATTCTGACGACATGAGTCAATAATTATCAACTTATATCCAAAGTTAGGATCCATCCGTTTCCTATTTTCATAAGTTGCGCGTCTCTGGATCTTAATCGAGCCTACTCATGCATGCCAATAGACTATTATCAGTGAGAGTATCCACTGATATAGATTCAGTTTTTCTGGTCTGATCAGAAAGACTTTATTTGACTAAATATGTCTATATAATACGAGATTATCTTCACTATACTATAGTCTATATAGTAATGTTGAATGCAATTGTTAAAATCTCTTACTTCTGTGTTTCACTTCATAACCTTCTTTGTTGGAGAAATGTCGGTTTCGACTTCTTGTCTTAAAGAAAGAAAAAAGCGTTAATATCAAGGGGCAAGGGCACACTCTTATACTATTCTATTCTACTCCATCCCGACTGCTGCATGGATGATTATTCCTCCAGCTGATACGCCCCTTAAAAAACGACGCATTCGGTAAGCACTATATACTATATGCCTACTCACAAAAAGGAGGCAGAATTACTTTTATTGAATTAACCTTTCTCGCGTAGGCCAAATTCGCCATTTTTGGGGTACTTTTTGAAAATTACATGAAAAATCTAAGTGATTAAACATTTTTTCAAATATTTAACTGTAAATTAACGTATAATGAATATATATAGAGACTCCGTTCCTGCCAGAAGACGTATATATGACTATAGTTGCATTTTTCCCAACTGCTCCTGGTTATAGGTCTAAGTAAATGAATACAAATTTACACTCAAAATTTCCATTCACAGAATCCAACAGCATTAAAAGTAGAAGTGTGTATTTTAGTCAAGATCTGTCAGTGTATGGAATTCATTGCATATTATATGAATTTATGTCAGACTTTTTGGATAAAGTAACATAGCATAAATAGAGTGTAGATAAGATAAATTGTGAAACTCATTAATAATACATGAAGAAGACACAAACGGAAATTATGAGCATGAAGGAGTCCGTATATCTGCATGCATGATACAGAAATCATGCTGATTTACATAGACTTTAAGTTCAATTTTCTCACCAAATATCATTCATTTATTTTAAATTGTTAAAGAATACGAATATTCTCATCGAGACGTTTCACAAGCTATATAAAGCGTCTGTGTTATATCAGACATCACTTTGATTCTAAAGCTATGCATTCATATATATATTCTATCAATACAGACAATAGTCAATAGTCAATAGTCAACCTCCGGCTCAGCTATAGTACGTTCGCGGTCACACAAATTGACTATTCAGATCACGGGCTGTACATCTTTTATCACCCTTTGCCGGTCTTTGTGCATTTTATACTGAATAAAAAAATACCTGAAGACAAAGAGTGGTAAAAGGTACATAAATTAAATATACTCATGGATATAAAGTAAATATACTTTATATCACATAATTTGCGTAGCCATAGCCATAGGCATAGTATAGGAAGAAAAGTCAGTATCATAACTGAAAAAAGTTCTAGTAGTGTTAATATATAGTAAGTATAATGGTCGTTAAAGCTTGTTTAAATTCCAATTCAGTATGAATTTCGCCCTCGGTGAAATGCGTGGGCAATGTACCGGAGTGAACATTATTTTCTTGTCAACTGTCGGTTGACCACAAACAGTGAAACCCACCTATAGCCTATATATAGGCAATAATTAATGCCGTAAACTGCTGTAAAAGCCCGCCGAAGCAGATAACTTTGCCTTTGGGCGAGATTTTTCGCCAATGATGGGCGACAGGCCGATGTTGCATACTGTTTTTAAATAAGTCCGATTTATAATAACATTTATTTCATCTTAGACTTAGCAACTGGTTGTGTAACAGTAATATATAAACTAATCAATAATGCCGTACAATGATGAAATACAACAGAAATCTGAGTTTTCTGGAAATTTCGCCGTTAGATTTATCGCAACTATCAGCGATGGTGATCAGCGATATATACAAAAAGTAATGTCATCACGCGTCGGCGAAATTTTATATCGACCATGCAAACATGTGAGAAAAAAGACATTAATATAAACTTAGATAAAATCAGGACTAAAAGTTTGTTGACAATTTTCGTAAATTTGGCATTGATTTTTGTGTAACATTGACACATTGTTTTCCTGTGAAACTGGTGTCTATTGTCTAATTGTAAAAAACACACAACATATAGAGTTTAGAACATGTCGTGAGACGCCCTATACAATATTGGACATAGTCACATATAACTGATTGAGACTATCATTCCTCTTCATACAAAATTCGCATACCGCTTTGATAATTGCGCTTTTTACTCTGTAACCCAGCAACTCAATGTTGAGTTTTTGTCGTGATAAATTACTAAATATTTTTGGTCGTTCGGCACAACGTTGAATTGGGGGAGAGGAAGTCGTCAAGTTTTTTTTTGTCAATGTACGTTAATTAACTTTGTCTTTGTCTTTGCAACAAAATCGAACGTCTCAACCCTCAGTTGTCCACAATTGTGACTAGACGTGTTTTTTTACTATTTTACATTTAGAGAACTGGAGAAGGTGTGCTTATAAGTTGTATACTTGCTTGCGTTTGACAAAATGTTAAGTTTCTGGACCTTTGCTTTGCCGAGAAAACGTTTGCTACTGACAGTTGTGACAATATTAGTATTGTACAGCTGTACTTGTATATATCTCGTCACACAGCATGATTGAAAAATTCCAAAACTCATTGTTAATTCATAGACTGTAAAAACAAATTGGATAAAATAACCCATAAATTGTTTGTCTCGTATTCATTTTGAATATTGGCCGAATATAGATAGCATTTTTCTTTACATTTTGAATCTGTTTCATTCTGCAATCTGCATTTTTTAAATTTTCAGGTGGCCTTGGTTTTCAATTAGCACTTTCATACCACTATAGAACAATTAATTATGAATCGCAGACCATTATAAAATACCAAAGTGCCTCTGCATAGGAGAGGACTATATTGACAAATGTGTGTGAGTGTGGTAATTCAACGCCTTATAAACGACTATATCAACGGTAATTAGCGCAATGAACACAAACAGTTTGAGTGAAAGATATATCGGCAAGTTCAAGATGACCACACAGGAAGATTATGTTATAGAATGTGCAGAAATATTGAATTTATTCTACCAAGCAGTGAATATCTGATAGATATAATTTTAATATCTAATCAATTATTACAATCATTTTCTTTGACATTATATTAGTAACACATGGCGCGAGAAGACTTAATACCATGCTGGGCTGATTCTCCTGCACTACCAAGCAATCATGGATGCCATATGTTATTAAATGTTCAATTCAAATGTCGAATGGACCTCAAGCTATTCCAGGCTTGTGGCATCTCCACAGAATAAATTGCTTAAATGGGTCGTTTAGTCTACATGATATTTTGACCTGGAAATTTGATGCGCACAGTCACTGAAAATCAGGTTCATATATGTCATAGCGCCTGAAATAACTTTCAGTTTTATTAAGAATTCACTTCCATTGTTTTAACGAATAACTCAAAAGGTTGTGTGTCAATGACTCTTAAAACAAAAAAACAATGTTAAATTCAATTGTAACGAAGGAAGGGTTAAGAAATACTCACATTACAGATATAATAATTAAAGCTTTTCTCGGAGAGCAGGTGCGTGGTCAATGGACAATGCTGGCTGAATCGGATTTTGATTTAAATCAAGTAAGGACATTCTTATCCAAGCCTTGAGCAGACGTCAAGTGTAGTGTGAATTGACTTAAAGTATCATGTCACTAGCAGTGTACATGTCGCAGTATCCAGTGTGATACTTTGATTATTGAAACGTGACTGCCTGCATTTTTGCCCAAATGCTGTGTTTCACAGTCACCCTCGGGTTTAGGACGAATCTGTATCAGTTAAAATCAAATCAGCTTTACAAAGATGTATTCGTTTTAGGTTTTGCAGATTATAGTCATTAGTAAAGAATGCATGCTTTAGTTCTTCGCAGGCATAATTGTGTTTCCACAAAATGACGGAGTTTATAAGGACGCACATTGAAATAGTGTAGACATGATTAATGAATCCTGGATGTCGATGCTCTTCATCATCCTGAAAAAGATTTGAAAACACTTCGCCTTTTCTATTAAAGGGCAGGCCTTTCTTCAGCAAAGGTATGATCGACTGACACCTTGTTATACACATACACGTATACAATAACATTGCAGCCATTGTTCATGCATAGCCATCATGTTTATAAAAAGATATTAAAATGCTTTGCACT